GCTGCAGGGACCGGCCAGGACACTCCTTCCGCGGCGGTGGCACCAACCCCCGTGGGTTTGCGCGGGCAACGGGCGCTTGGCGTATCAGAGCGGTGTCCGTGTTCGTGGTGGTTCCCGCGGGAGGCTCGTCAGGCCTTGCGTAGCCATAGTCTGCCCTTCGGGAACGTTTAACAGGGAGGGGGTGCCTTGGCCTTGGGAAGTCAGTGTATCCTGAGCAAGCTATTTTTCAAGATGTGGCCATTTGCATTCATTAGCTCGTAGAGGGGATTATGGCATGAGCTTACAGTGTGACACCCAAGCTAGTCCTTCGTTCTGCCGCGCGTAATGCCCTGACGTGGGCTAGGAAGCAGTCGGAGGCCTTTAATATTTTCCCAGAGCTAGATGTTTTTCCTTGGGAGACTGGACAGTACAATTAAAATCGCTGCCAGGCCAGCAGGACAAAAGAGTAGAAGGCCCAAAGTTAAATTCCTGCAATTTTGTGAACATCGGCAGTTAGGAGATGAGAAACTGTAAATTAGTACCTCTCAAAAAATGATAGCACTAAGACATCAGTGGTTATTGGTTATGTTTTGTAGGTGGTCCTGAGCATGAGTTTCGCTCTGAGCAACTAGTTAAACTTCCTTTTCTTCCTCCAGAAATTGCTGAGGGAATAATGGAAAAATCTGGGGAACATCTTGGGTAAACTGGAAATATAGGCAGTGAGAGGGGGAACTGGGAGAGATCTGTAGCTCTATGTGAAGGTGCATGAGGAGACCTATATAGGTGTACATAGTGAGGAGAGGAGGAACTAGATGTTCTGCAGCTGAGATTTGGCTAAATTAGTTCTACTTGTTGAACAAAGTTTCTGCTGCCAAAGAACACATGGATCCTTATGGTAGCAAAATACTTACCATTTGGGCAAATCTGAAAGCATTGCCTAAGTCCTTTAAAGAAAAGTCTTTTGCGATTACTGGGAAAAAAAAGTGCGTCTGAGAACATGATGAGTTGTGATCCTACCCAGTCTGCAGACATTCACGTGTGAGAAGTATTAAATCATGTTGCCGTAGACTAATTTAGGATTACTTTCTATGGCTACTATGAATAAAATCTGTTCCCTTAGTATCACCTGCTAGGACATAGAATTCATTAATAATTTTTACTTTAAAATACTGAAGTCATGAAACTAAGGCTTCCAAATACACTTGATTTCTAGGGACTTACTAACATCAAGCTCAAAGTAGAATGGTTCTTACTATTAATGTATTCTACCAGCTTGCACTTACTCCTTCCTCCCCTCCATCCTGCTGTGGGTCCAGAACAGCTTCTGTAATGGTTGGCCTTGGCGGGGCCGGCCATGTCTTTTGGAATGCAGTCATTCTTGTTTGGGTCCGTTATGAATTTTTATTTCATATCCAGTGAAACAGGTGCACCATTGATTCAAATCACAGCTTCTAATTCAGTTACCCTGATTTGTTTCTACCATTCCCAAGCTTTGCATGGAGCAAGATCATTGTGAGTACTACACCTTTCCCTAGTATACTGGGAAATGAGGGAGGTAAAGCTGCTACACTCTTCACGGCCAGAAGTCTGTAGAGAAATCTAGGCTAGTTTTCTCTAGGAAAGTTTGCCAAAACTTGATGTTGGTCAGGCATTTCGATTATCATGCAAAAGGGCTAGGTTTAGGAATTGGGAGAAATGATGATTTCTCTCTGGAGCAATGATCTTTCTTTAGAGGGTTGAGGGGAATTTACTGGCAATAAGAAGATTTATGGAACCTCTGTACATTTCCATGTAGTGTGAGGCAGGCTTCTATAATGGTCGCTCCCTGCCAGTTTGTTTCTACATAAGTAATGAGAGAAACAAAGTAGAGAAATCACTTAGAGGAAGTGATCTTTCAAGGTATCATTTGTTGCTGTTGGACAACTCGGAAGCTATTGAGAAAAAAAGAAAAGGTTAAAGAAGTATTATGGCAGTGCTAGTGTTGCTAAGAAGCACACTTAAAGAAATTTGAAGTTTTAGTTGCAGGTATCTGTGCTATTTACTTTTCCTTTCTATAAATGTACTGTGCTGGTTCTGTTGCTGTTTTTTTTTTTACTGAGATACTTTGTCAGGACTGTCAGGACAGAATCCTTCTCATTCTCAGAACATTTAGTCTTTGGACTGAACAAGGAAATTAGCAACATTTTGATTAACTGACAATAATTGGTGATTCCTCAAAAACAGAATTTGAGTTTTGGTAATTGGTATGGAAGGAATTTATTTTGGAACCATAGTTACTTAGGCCAACTCCTTGCACTTCAACTTATACACAATCCTAATGGTTTTCTATCTGTTGATAATTGGTTGTTTTCTCTATCTTCCTCTTTCTGGGGACTTGATTAATTTCTCATGGCTTGATGAATTTCCTTTTATGTGGCTATGAAACTGAAGCTAAATCTGTGGGTATGCATTTAAGGTGAGAGGGCTTTTCAGTTTTATTCAGATGTTCCAAGGTATTAATTCAAACATCACTTTGTATAATTATACACGGGATAATAGTTTTGAGCACTAGAAGATAAAGACGAGGTACAAAAGGAATAAGCAGATACCCGTTGCCTGTGGCTCTGTTCCCTCCCAGCACAGAGCCACCTCACCAGTCAGTGAGGGCTGGGCGAGAAAGAGAAGAGTTCCCTCAGGTTTGCTTACTGGCTCTCCGTGAGGTCAAATGAGTCAGTGGCTCAGTTTGGGAGGGAGAACTCAAACTTGGCTTAACTCTCATCCCATCTGAGGAGTCCTAGTGAAGACTTTCAGTTTTAATGGGAAAATTATGAGCTTGTCTTCCAGGATAGCTGGGTTCCCTGGCTTCTCTTGATACAGTGGTTCTTCAGATATTCCTGTTGGGTGACCAAAGCTCTGTGCCAAAATCTTTAGGAAAATAATGCCCATGTGATTTAGGAGTGCTGACTTAAGAAAATCCAAGGTCTTCATTCATAGTACGCCTTAATGCCGCTTAACTCAGAGGAGATGCTGACTGCAGCTTGCTTTACTTGGAACTTCACTTTATCCCCTTTTTGTTCAGAGCCTGAGAACAGAGAGCGTTTTGGGCAGGCTTTTCCACTCTGCTTTCCACATTGTTGTGCAGCTGAGGGGAGGAGGAGGACGTGGAAGCATCCCCTTGGCAGTGTGAGGCTGGCCATTGGCATGGCCATTGACTGAGGAGTGACATTTCTGTCACCCCTTCTTCCAGTGCCCAGGGTGGGAAGGAACAGCAGGAGGCAGAAGGGAACAGAAACAAAGACTAAGGTTGGGGCCTTGAAAAAGCTGTAAGGGACATTCCCCCAGAGGGGAGGAGATGCAGAAGACAATAGAGGCAGTTAAGTGTCTTCACCCTCTTGGGTCTGGTAATGTGGTGGTTGCCATAGGAGACTATTTTTTTAAGAGTAAGATTAGTAGTACTTTTTCTATTATTTGAATTTATTCCAAGGTATTTTAAAAGCTTTCTTTTTTTTAAAATTCCTTCATTTAAAAACATTGTCCCATATACAAAAATGAAGTAAAAGCAAATGTTGGTTTTCCAGATTATGTAATTTAAAAAGCAAGTTTCTCTTGCTTATTTAGAGGGCCTGAACTGTTTGATTAGACTTCTATTGTTGCATTGCTGTAAGTTCTTAGAAAGTGATGTACATGTTTTCTGTTCTAGGAACAGCCATCTTGCATCACATTTTAGTAATGTGCAGAGTGACATCGCCTCGGCTGCCACAGCTGGGAAATTAGGCTTTCTAAAAGTCACTTTAAATTTGTGCGAAAGTTCTCTGTGCATCAGTGCTACCTTGCATCAAAGATGTTATATGTGTGTGTATGTGTGTGTGTGTATATACACACACACACATATATAGATATCTATATATACACACATACCTATAAAGCAGATGTTAATCATTCACTGATTTGTTAAGCAGAATTCCCATTCTTCAGCTGACTTCAAAGCAGCACATGGGAAGTAACTTGTCCATCATATAGTGACTAATCTTGAAGGGGATTGAGGAGATCTTATTCCTAAGCCCCTACTTTAATTGCTAGGTTTTATATTACCTCTCTTCATTGTTGACATGATAAAAATGTAAATTAAAAAAACCCAAGCCCCAGTTTCTCCTGTTTTCTGCTTCTTCCATCTATTCTGCAGTGTAGAGATCATTAGCTTGAAATTTCCAGTCAGGAGTTCTTAATATGAACTTAAATGAAGATGATTAATATGGCCTATACTATGCAGATGTCCATTTTGTCTAAATCAGCATAGATATGATTAAAAAGTAACTTACCTACACCAGAATTCCTCTTTGGGGTTATCTGTTTTTATGCAAGCAGGGTCTCAAGTTTCCTGTATCACCTTGGCTTCTTGCTAAATGAATGTAATTTAAAAAAAAATGGTTTAAGTAATTAATACATCCTCCAAGTAAATACATGGAGAAACTTCCTACTTTATGTGTATCATCTGCCATATTAGAACAACACAAGTTCATATGGTAGTTCTTATACTAAATCTTACTTTTTAGTGTACATGTCTGCTGAATCCTCAACTCGCTTAGAAATCTGCTTCTATTACGAAGATACATTTTCCTGGTATTAAATGATGAGATTTAATGACTTTAAATTACCAACAGTACGAGCTTAGCCTGAAAGTGTGGAAAAAGACATATGTATATCAATCATGGTCTGTATTTTCATTTGATTAAATACATTACCTTCTAAAGGTTAATCTTCCTCTTTAAGGTGTAAATTAATTTGTGGTATGTACACAAATGCCAAAATGTGTGTGTTGTGCTTTTTTTTCCCCCACAGTTTTTGATGATGAAGAAGAAAGCAAGTTGTCTTATACAGAAATTTACCAGGAGTATCAAGCTTTGGTGAGCATTAGTCACTATTTGTAGTAGATTTCTAAGAAATATAATTAAAATATTAAAGTAGTATTTAGGTGAACTCCTAGTTGTGTTATCTTTGTTATTTAGAATTTTCTAATATTGCCCGTTATGTGTTATTTAGAAATCCTTTGTCATAGTTGTCATACGCATTTAAGCTTAAATGCCTGATATGTAGAAAAAAAACTTTAACGTACAGTCCTATCTCTTACACTGTCACATACTTTTAATTAAAATTAATATATACACTAGCTAAAATACTGTACTATAAGCTTGATAATCTTCATATTTTCTGTCAAATTAAAATGACAGCATGATGTCTGAGATCACATTTAATTTGTATTTTGCTCAGTAGTGAGTCTAGTAAATCTTTTGAATTAACTTTCAAGAATTAGAAAAAACTACTGGAGATGTTAAGGCATGGTTAAAATACCTATAAACCAACACATACAGATGTCTAACATATTGTTTGTTTGGTTTTTTTTGGTAACAAGGCTGGGTAATATTTCATTACAAAAAGCAGGAGTTGAATAACTGCAGGCCAACAACCAATTTTGCTTTGACTCCAAAGAGTTTCAGGCACACAGACTGAAACCTTTTACCTACAGGGTAAGAAATGATGAGGAATACTAGCCAGGAGTCTGAGGAAAAGGTAGAGAAGTGAGATTCTTGGAAATTGGAAAAGCTAAATTAAGTAGTAATCAAATTTAGCAATAAAAATGCTTATTTTTAGCAGTTCACAAAAGTATATAAAGCCTGACATATCAGAAAAAATCAGTTATACTATCGCAGTAATTTTGAGTTTAAAAAATACAGTGTCAGCAGAAAAGAATATGCAATGTTGAAAAAAATCATATGATCCTTAGGGAAAAACCTCTTAGAAAGTAAGGCTTATACTTGCAGGTTGAAAAATTATTAGAAGACTATCTTAAAGAAGTTGGAATTAATGAAGAGAAATTTCAAGAAGCTTTTTCATCTCCTCTTGCAAAGACACACACTTCACAGGTAAATTTTCCTTTGTTTAGAAATATATAGATTTAATTTTCAGCTTTATATTTTTGCTGATATACCAGGGAAAACTGTAGTTTTCTAAAATATAATGTGTTTGTTCATAGTAGGAACTTTGACTAGAAAAATGCACATCTTGAAAATAATGACAGGTATTTGTGTGGTGACAAACACCTTTTGAGATTCATCTCCTATGCTTTGTATTTTCTGAACCACACCTCTAAGCTTAGAGTGTTCCTTCCAGCTTTATTTGCATATTTGTCAGCTTTATCTTAGTCTTCAGTCTATTTACAATAGCAGACAAACTTAGATTAAAACAACAGCCATGCTGAATAAAATAAAAGATGTTTTCCTCTGATTTTTGTAATAAAACCTGTAAGATGAACATTGGCCTTGGGAAGACAAGGCATGGTTAGGCAGCCCTTCACCTGCTCAGAGACATCTTTCAGAATTGGCTTGGCTATATTGGGCAGAGGAGTGGGAGCTCCTGCAGTCAGTTTACATCGGGCTTTGTTGATGTATCTCCTCCGAGATGTGCAACAAGCTTCTTCAGAGCGCACGTTCCTCACTCAAGCTTACGCATTTGTTCTGGAAGTCAAATGAATTGCAGTTGTAAACTTACACTGGGAAACCGTCCAGGTTCTGTGATAATATTGTTGTAGACGTGTTGATCTAAAGACATAAACTATCAAATGATTTTCTTGACTTATCAGCTCAACTTGTGTGGCTGGTAAAACAGACAGAGAGGAGAGTTAAATATAATAATTGAAGACATGGTCCACAGAATTTAAACCTTAATATAATTTCAAGCACACTGAGATGTTTATGATTTCTCTAGGGTTTTAAATTTTGTGCGTATTTTCCCTCCCACAGGCCATTTTGCAAACAGTGTTGGCAGCAGAAGATTTTAGACTATTTAAAAAGATGATGGTACAGAAAAATGTTGAAATGCAATTGCAAGCTATTAGAATCATTAAAGAAAGAAACGGTAAGAAGTGGTAAATGTGGAGTTTCATTTCTCCATCTTTTAGTGTTCTTTTGATGACTATGTAGTCTATTCATAAATGAGTATAGAATACTGGTTCAGTTCCCGTTCAAGTTAATGGAAAACATTCAGTTGATTTTACTAGGACTATGATTTCAATACTTAGTCCTTGGCTTGCATTCTCAGCTACAGCTGTCTATAATCCTTTTTAACTTAGCAAATTTTTTAGTTCTGTCTAAATTTTTCTGTGAAACTTGACCATTTTTTGTTAAAGAATTTTTGTGATAATTTTGAGTGTTAAAGCAATTGTATCAGTTCATCAGCAACGACAACATTCTTAGTTTGAGTTATGCTACTTGAATAGCAACAGTGCTGCACAATCTGCCGTGCTTTGCAATTAACACTGTAGAGTTGGATATGAAAAGTCCATGTAGAAAGCAGAAGTTATGGCCTTCATCATGGGCCTTTGTCATGCTCATACATCCATGCTTTTGAAGAAGACAAAGTAATTTACACCCAACTGTGCTGCTCTGTTGATGTTTCTGAAAGGATTTTCATCTCTCCACTCCTTTCTTCCATGCCTTTAGTTTTACCATTTTGGTTTTTTTCTTCTTACTGCATGCATGTTTCTTCAGAGAGTAGTGTTAAAATTTCAAGTTTCATATAACAGCGAAATTTGAAAATGGTTCAGTTAGCCATGACTGAATTGCAGTCTATAGGAAATGTCATATAAATTAGCTCAATGCAGAGTATGGATTATGCTTTACCCTAGTTTAGAAACCTTTGCCTTTTTGCTACAAGCAACCTGATGCCCAGGATCTAGAATATATTTGTAAACAGTTGCAGAGAGGAAGAATTAGGTGTGGGGTTTTTTTTGTCTGGGTTTGTTTTTTTTTTAATTTCTCCACTCTGCCTAAAGAATGATGTCAAATGGAGTACCAACTAATTTTCTTTGGAGTAGTGCATAAATTTTTCCATGTTTTTTTTTTGTAGGTGTGTTGCCCGACTGTTTGACTGAGGGTTCTGATGTATTCAGTGAAATTGAACAAGAAGAAATGAAAATACTGAGGGAGGTTCTAAGGTAAAAAATGGATCAGTCCGACTTCATACATGATTTTAAAATAAAGAATTAAAGTGTGTAGGACTTAATTCTTCCAGTCTTTTCCAGGAAACTGCCTTTATCTTACAGATGAGATGAGGGTTCTTGTCAAAATCCTACCAAAGAGAAAATGGATGGTGCTAGGCAGTGGGTGTGATCAGGAATATTTAAAGACTGAGAGAGAACTGCTCTGCCACAATGAACTGTCTTGGTGATGCATGGAATGATGTGCAACTTTGAGCTCCATCATTTCCATTTTCCCCTGAATCTTCAGGCAGACCTAAAGTTGGGCCTGGGTTAGATGTCTCTGGACAACAGGAATGTGCTAGCTGTAAGCAGGGAACACCCTAAGCATTAAAGCCTTGGCAAGGCAGATTCTGCTTTTGCATTAGGCTTTATTCTTTTCTACAGGTTTCTTCTTAGTTGTGTTCAATAACTGGTGTTATGATCTCAAAAGATGTGTGAGGACTGATATGACTTCTATAGATTCTCCTCCACTCCCAGTTCACACATATATAAACACAATCTTAAATAACAGATTAATCCATTCAGGTTATATTGAATTATGCTATTTTCCCTCTGTGCTGGAAATACTTCCTTTCTTGTCTTTAAATGAGCAATTGAAACATGAGATAGGTAAGTCCTGGAAATTCTTACACAATTATTTTTGCACTGGGAAAGATAGACTGAGGAGAGTGAGTTCTGTGTGTTTATTATAATTCTGTACTACTACTATTAAGAGTGCATTTTCATTTAAGTCATGGAAGTATTTTGGATACTAACAGACTCATCTTGTAATTGTTTTGGTAGTCCTGAAGTATTTAAGCAGTGCTAAATTTACCTAGAAGTCACTAATACTAAAGAAGTTTTGAGTATTTACTTGTATTTTACTTGTATTTTGTTACAGAAAATCTAAGGAAGAATATGAAATAGAGCAAGAAAGAAAGAGGACTGAAGAAGTGAGTATCTCACCTTTCCAGATAAGTTATGTCGATGATTACTAAATACTCTGATATCCCTGTCCTGGGTGTCAACCGTATCACTTTAAGGCAATGTGTACCATCCTAAGCAAACAAAAGGTCTGTCAGGAAGGTCTCACTGACACTTCTTCTTGAAAGGTCTGTTCTGTTGTTTACATTTTTCTTGATGGTCTCACTGACACCAGTGCTATACATGATACCATTAACCATCAGCCGTTTGAGGGCTCATACGATAAGCATATTCTTCCTTCAGTATCTGAATTCTAAAATCCTGGCAACGGATGTCAGCCTTGCAGATCCAGAGAACGTCTGAATTACTAATATTGTCAAGATCAAAGAGACTTCAAAGTATAAGCTTCTTAAAGATTACACCATTCATAATCCTTCAGGAATTTTAAGGATCACTTCATCGACAGTATAGTTACTCATTAAATCTGCACAATACTGCCAGAACCTAATCACCAGGAACCAGAAATCCTCTCCAATTAAGACCATCACTTGGTCTCCGTCAGAGTAAACCATGTAGAAAGGTAACTGAATGTAAATGGGGACTGGCTAAATTGCCAGTCATTGAGCGACTGAAATTGAAATCAACTGCAATAAACCTCCCCTTCACTAGGAAAACATGTAAAAATAGCTGCATTTGTAGGCTGTTTCAAAGGGGAGCAGACTCGCTCTTCTGTTCTCTGCCATTAGGAAACGGAGCGTACTAAACTTGAAAAGAGAACACACTGTTTCTTCAGTCTGAACTGACAAAGGAAACCACCTGGAGACAAAATGTAGTTACTACAGAGGTCAACACCTTGTTTCCCATCCTGCTCTCCAGTTCAAACCCATGACAGGTGCAGATGATAGCTGTGCTACTGAATGCAAGTCCTAAACAGTTGGGATATTCTCTGAAATTAAACTTCGCCTCCAGGGTCTGACACTACAGAAAGCTGGTGACAAAACTCTACTTTCCTGTATTATAATGATAGATTCCAGGAAATGAGTCACCTGTTTTACTGGATTTCTAACAAAACAGCCTGGAAACTCAAGCTTCGGCTCATTTTAAGAATTCAGGTTGTATTTAGATGCAGGCTTAACCAAATCCTTACAGACCAGCCAAGAATATAAATATTTTTGCTAAACCAGATTACAGAGGCCCCAGTCAAGTTCACCTGGACAGAGAAGGAGATAGTTATTGTTCAGTAACACAAGAATGTTTTAATACAAAATAGCTTAACATCTTGATGAATGTTTGGGGGTTCTGTCATGAATTAGACGGTTGATGTACAGCATAGACATTTTCTGGGCAAATCCCAGCTGGCTTTACTATTTTCAGAGTTGTGTTGTCACGATTTCCCAGACAAATGTAGAAGTGAAACAACAGTGTCAGAGATTATCCAGCCCTGCTGTTTCCATTCAGCTGATTGTCTTCATTCCTTTGGTAACTTCAGTATGTGTTCCTGCTTCTCTTACTGTATTGTATTTTTCTGGTGGTCAGATATCTGCTTAAAAGTCACATGCAAAATGTGGCAAAAAAACCCCGTACATTATCTCTTTGTAGCTGAGAAACAAAATACCAATGTACCTAATATTCTGAATTCTGATTGTTGATTACGGAACACGTTTTGAAATAAAATTGAAAATGCTGATTTATGACTAGAAGCCAGTAAGAACCTTCCTGTTAGTAAAACAAAATAAGTAGTTTGCTTTTGTTCACTTTGACAGTGAACAGTATGTAGTGTAAACAACATAATACTAACTGAAAGCTCTCTTGGGAGCTTTCTTTGTGTTGGCACTTTAATGCCTGGAGTACAGTGCCAGGAAATGTAATGCTTGCTTTTGTTTGTTTTTTTTTAATTTAAGGCACGTGATAAACTTAAATCACCAGATGTTACCTACACTTTTCCAGGAAATTCAAGAGAAGCTGTAAAAGTTAAGGAGTCCACTGAGGGAGCTGATGATTCTGAAGAAACTCCAAAACTTCCATTAGGTAATTTTATGGGGAAGTGCAGTGCTGAGTGTGCATTATGATACTGTTTTCAAATCATTGGAGAGTCCACTCTTATCAAGATTTTTAAGAACTTGGCTGCATAAGGCTGAGAGTAAACCATTCTCAGCTTTGAAGTTCACCCTGCTGTGAGCAGGGTGTTTGCACTAGGTGGCCTGCAGAAATGCCTTCCAACCCGAGTTGGTTATTATTCAGTGATGTTATAAGTCATCTCCAATTGGAGGAGAAATACAGGAGTCTAACAGCAGTTTTCATCTTTCCATTTACTGTGCTTATGCTGCCATTACTGGTAAGAAGAGTATATCCCCTGTAAGTAACTATGAATCATTTACTTAAAAAGTTAATATTTCTCCCTGTGTGTGGCCGTTACAGATTTAATTTATATAACATTTCTCGATAGCAGTGAAATATTTTGGAGGGAACCAACTGAACTTAAACAGTTAAGATTCATTCAAGCTGAACTGTCAGACCACCAACCTGAATCTTTTTGCCTTTGGTTCGCATTTTTCTTACTTGTTTTAATCTTTTCAATTTTACTTTTTTGTTTTTGAGTGGGATTGTGACACTTACTGACTTACAATGCCAAGGAGAGTTCTTTAAAGTAGTCTTGAACTTTAGCCAAGCTAATGAAAATTTTCTGAATCATTTTGTAGATGATTATTTACTGGAGAGCATGACCAATCCAGGGCTTTTACAAGGAGGAAAAAAAAGGAATTGCTTTTTGTGATGGAGGTGTTCTTGTCTCTATGTTTGTGCTGCAGCTTAAAGCACAAGGGTGCTGACCTGTTCAGGAAAGCAGGAAAATGTTTAGGTAATATATATGTGTGTACGTGTGTGTGTGTGTGTACGTGCACACACCCGTATAGGTATGTATGTATACACATGCACTTATCTGTGTGTACAGGTATACATGGGTGATCTTCAAAAACAGGTTGCATCTCAGTGGGATTTGCTCTGATGAGTGTGTGAAAAATTTGTAAGTTAGGTCACTTCCAAGAATGTAATTCCAACTTTGGGAAATAATAGTCTGTGCTGTCTTAAGTTACATTTTTCCTGTGTCCAGTACTGGTATTCGCATTCACACTGGAAGCTTTCATATCACAGACACTTGAGCTGGATACTTTTAGCCTTGGTGGTATCTTTGGGGCATACTTGCTCCTTGCTGTTGCATTTGATGGCCATTGACAGATGAAGTGGTTGTAGGACCCTCTGTTCTTTTAAACTGAGTCAGTGTCTTTCACTTTAGGAACCTTAGAGAATAAATTGTGTCACTGACCTTTTAACTATCTTTTTCTCCCCTTTTATCTCTTCTTTCCTTCTGTCGAGGTGGTGTTACTTTTATTTGAACTCTTCTGCCCTCCCTTCCACCCTCAGAAGTATGCAGAAGGCCTGCAGGTATACTTGCACTTTTATCCCATCCTGCTTTTACTCCTCTTAGCTTTGCATAGTTGTGCCACCTTGCAGTGGCACCACCAAACTCTGTGTGTCCTGCAGTGGCTCTTTTCCGGGAGGAAGGCGCATTCCTAGCAGTTATTCTGCCTGCAGGACTTTATTGTGTGCTTGAGAGGCAGGAGATCTTGGAGCTCAGGAGTCAAGACTTCTCGGCTCTTCTGTGCTGTCAGAGTGCCTGCTGGTGCTGAGCTTTCCCATGCTCTTTAAATGCCAAAGAAGAGACAGGTCTACAAAAAGTTTAGTTCCTTGGAAATCGTCTTCATCCTTGTAGAACTGGCATCTTGTGGCAGCATAACTGTGCAAAGAGGCTACTGAGAAAGTTTGTCACGCTTAATCCTGTGGTATTACCTTTTTGAAAAGTGGTTTTGGGTAGTGGTGGCAAAAATCAAGAAGAATCTGTACTGGAAATCATCTGCTTCAGATCCCTTTCGCACACAGAACCAAAGACCAGCCTCCAGACCAGTCTGTTATTGCCTGCTTCCAAAACGTGGGCTCCCAACTCAAGGTTTGTCTTGGATAGCGGGATCATATCCTCTGCTTGACTTTCTTCCTCTCAGTGCCAGATACAACTCTGGGAACGGAAATGGCAAGAACTTTTCACTAAGGGTTTGTGCACCTGTGGGGTTGCAGAAGAACTGCTCTTCCCTCACCTCGGCTGGTCCCTGACCCTCACAGCCCACCAGCCCTGTGGTCAGATCCAGGCTCCACGTTCACTTGTAGGGTGGCATTACTGAGGACCAGGACAGCTCGCCTTTCCCGGCTTGAGCACAGGGAGGAGTCCCATACCCAGGGAGTACTGGCTGCCTTGGCAACACGGCCCCTGCATGAACCACTTCTCGGAGTCAGGAAAAGGGAAAAGTTTTTTTTCTTTGTTTTTCATTCCCTCCTTGCCATCTGTCACACATTCCTCTTCATTCAGATACGCAACGGTTTTAATATCTTTTGCTATTACCCCTTCACCTTGAGGCCCAAGATTTCAGTTTGTGGGACCCTTAAAGTTTTCCACCGTATAATGAATGAAAATTCAATGTTAGTTGCCTTAATTATCTTAATTTCTTTTTGGTGAGCTCCTTACAAATACTTCACAGAACAGAGCTTGGAAAAGCATTCCTTCTGTACTTTGACCATCCAACCTGTTGCACTGCGGAGATCAGAAAGGTGGCTTTCATAGTATAGGTCGTGCTCAATACCTCAGGAGTGCAAGTGACCTTTCCAGTGTCCTTGCAGACCACTTCCCTTCCTGGGTACCTACAGGGCAGCTGCCTCAGAGGCTGCACTCATGTTTGCACCGAGCTGCGTGTATCACATCGACAAGGAGGAGGCAGTTTCTGCTGGAGTGGTCCCGGCTGCGCGTACTCTGCAGAGATTCTGAAGCAATTGTCCACATGGAAAAGTGCATTGCTTCGTCACCCATGAAGTGAATGTACATATAGACAAGTTCTCAAAGGAGAAAAAACATTACAAGCCAGTAACTGTAATTCTTTGAGATGTGCTGTCTGTTTGTACATTCACTATCCACCCTCCCTCCCTTCTCTTCCCAGTATCTTTTCAGGTTCGTGGGTTAAGTGACACTGAGGGTCCTATGATCACACCCTACAGGTACTGCTAAGGCACAAACATCTCCAGCTTGAGTGTTTGCGATACGGACAGCAACAGTGTAGATTTACATACACACAACACATTTCAGAGAACTGCTTTCTGGTAAGTAGCTTTCCTTAATCATCCTGTTGGTTATGGGGTAGGTATTTGGCATGCAGCATGTGTTTTGGGGATTTCCCTTGCTTCTTAATCAGACAGCTATAATGTGAGGACTTTTTTTTAGCAATTTTAACACTGACCTCTTGAAGTGCTCTTAAGAACTTTTCTCCATCACAAAAAGACTTACTTTGGAGCATCAAGGCATCCAGCAGACACACTTCTGTGATACTGAAGTACTTTAGTACTTCATACCTTTTCACAATTGTGTATCTTGTAATTTTCTCTACTAAAGGAAGCAGCAATATTGAAGAGCTAAATGTATGTGACTTGCTCTAACTTAAAGAAACAATTGAGTGGTGTTCACCCAGTGCTGGCTTTGTCATCTGTCCAGTAGGGACCAAGGAGAGTACTCATACCTTAATACTCATGCGAGTTATTTCTCAAGATTACAGCAAAAATCCATGGTCTAGCACTATAGAATTATTGGCTACATTCAGTTCTCTGTATTAACTTGGGTATTACGGATAGATTCACACGGACGAGACAAAATTGGTATTTTGCTACCTGTATTCTTGCATCTCTGTAGATACATTCAGGCATATTTTATGCAGTCAAAAGACTCTTCATTTTTAATAAAAGTGTAGTAGGACGAGCAGCTTACCTTATTCAGTAGTAGTTGCAGGTCAAGTCAGAAGAAGTCTTAGTAAAGTTCTGCAAACATCCCTGCTCTACAGTCTGGCCACTGGAGAGGCTTTTTACTCCTGCGTCAGTAACCACAGTGCCATCCCAGAGACCACAGAGTTCAGTGGGACGCAAGGCAAAACACCATGGTGCCTGCAAAGGTGTGAAAGCCACAGCTGGAATCAGTACAGGGTCACTTTTTTGGCAGCGCAGGAGGCATATGTCCAAGAAAAGAGCAAGAGGTGAGCAGGGTGTTGTTCAGGACTGTCATCATGCAGGACTGTTACTGTTATCGTGCACAAAGTGACGGACTTGATAGGAAGTGGAAGATGCCAGCAGTGGCCCAAATCTTGTTTGCGCTGTGGCTGCCCAGAGTTTCCCTGGCACCCAGCAGCCAAGCCCGTCTGGGGTCTGAGCCTGCCAGCCTCAGAAACCCCTTGGGTTCCCACTGTATCCTCATGTAGAGAATGCAGAGGAGTAACTGAGCTGCGTCAGTGCAGTGCTTTGCACCCCTTGAGCTTCACTACCCACCTCTCCTGTACAAGTTCAGTTAAATACAGTATTTTCTGACTCCTCTCTCTGAAAGCTGAACCAGCGCACTTGTACCTAGAGTTGGCTCAAGTGCACTTTGTAGGCTGCTCATTCCTGCCTGAGCTTGCCAAGATAGAAATTGAAACTGCAATTTCAGTATAAATTGTCTGTTGGAATACTGAAGGTGAAATTACATTCCAAGCATTTGACAACCATTTGTAATTAATTGTAGTACAGCTACTTACAATGCAAAGCATCATTTAATTGTTTTCATAGTGTGAATGCAGTATCTGTTTTTTGAAAGAAAGTTTTATTAATAAAAAAGGAAGAAATGCTTTATTTTAAGTTTTCCATTTCATCAGAAGAGACATCTGGATATTGGAAGAAACAGAGATTTATTTTTTATTTTATGTGTTTCTATTCTTTCTAATTGTTTTCTATGTGAAATTGCTGTTTAGAGGAATCTCGGAAATCTGCAAAGGAAGACTTAAAACTAGTGCGCCCATTACAAAAAGGAACAGAAAACTTACCTCAGCCATCTAGCACCAAAGGGAAGGAAGACACTAAGAAAAGGTCCACTGGAAAGTCTTCAGAAAATGCAGCGCAAAAAGCTGGGATGAAAGGATCTGTAAGTTTAAAACAAACAAGAAAAACCTCCAAACATAGAATGCAAAACCAATGTATTACATTTAGAAATATATATTTAAGACAGTATTACAGTAAAATGTTTTTTTCCTGTTATTGTAGTCAGGTGGTCTTGGTTTGGGCTTTTTTTTTCTTTTTAAACCATGCAAACAACGTTTTACGGTATTTACCAGTTTAATTTGCGTAAAGTTCAGATCCTTATTCTCATTTTAGAATAGAATTCAGCGTTCAGCCTTCGTCCTCTGAGAATTTCTTACTAGACAGCTATGGCTTGAAATTGGATATTTTTTTGGTTTTTGCCTAGTAATTTTGGAGGCAAATACGATGTAAATGCGTTTATCTCAAATACATAGCAAGCATACCAAAACCAACTTCAAACTGTATTCTACAAAAAAATTTCCAGAATTTATCAGAACTTGAAGAGCAGCAGCTGAAGCAACGCGAAGACTACCTAAAGAAAAAACGAGACATGCTGATGGCTGCGAAAAAGGAGCCAAGAAATAACGTACTGCTGCCAACCAACACTGACCAGAAAGAAGAGGAGTCAGCTCCTAAAGAGGTGAAGGATTCAACCACTTTAATAATCCCAACTGCTTTCTAAAAAGGACAGATTATTTCCCTGAAGATGTAAATGTTGCTGCTGAATATTGTGGCAGGATAAAAGCAACAAGCAGGGGAATTTGAGGGAAGTATTTTCATGTTGTAGAAGCTAAAAGTTTTAGTGATTAAGTTAGCATTATTTTGCTTCAGTATCATCAAATCCTCCTCATTAATTGTAAGTTTATGAACTGCTGGTTCCTAAGTTTATGAAATGTTTTTCTCCTAATCCATGACCTGCTGTTTGGGCTGCCTTAAATCCCTGGCATCTTTTTTCCCAGCTGAAATAGGAAAAACATTTTTCTTTCACAAAGTCTTATTTTACAGAGATAACAAATTTGCTCTGTTCTGTTGCTCTCTTTGGAGAGTTTTGAGCCCCTTCCAAATGAAGCAATCCTTGATTTCTATCCATCAGCCGCTGGAGTAGAAGTGACCTGATGATGATACAGGCGACAAAGATTAGGCACACTGAAGGATTGGTGCTGCTGTCATTGATCCAGTTGCCTCCAATAGAAAAAAAAAGTCAGTGAGAGGGTTGGGGGCACAGGGCAGAAGGAGAAGAGGTTGGAGAGCTGCTGGAAGAGGTGCAGCTGCAGTTAGCACAGCTGCTCTCTGGTCAGAGACATGCGTGAAGTTACGCAGGGAATTAACAGATCTATTCCTTGGCTTAAAACCAGTGCTAACATCACAAAAATCCTTGCACATGGGGATGATAGAAAATGTAGTTTGGAAAAAAATAAATCCTATCAGGAAAGAAAGTACAGACATTAAAAAAAGCCCAGAATCCTGTGGCAGGCCAAAGCCAGTGCAGAGGTCTTTGGGTTTGTTTTTTTTCTGACAGACTTTTTTGGTAAATCATTGTTATGGTTAATATGACTCAATGCATTTAACACAAATAGGTCTGATCTTCATTTACTTGAAAAGAAACGCTCGAAAGCTCTCAACATGAATGAGGAACCTGGTAGAAGACCTTAAAACCCCCACGAAACAATGTGTTAACTGTTATTAAAAAACCACTATTCTTTTTTCTTTTATTCTTGCCTCAGGTATTTTTCAGAGTTGCTGAGAATTTCATTATGCTCAGAATATGCATAAAGTATCATTGACTGGGGAACTGCCCCAGAACTCAGCAGCACCAGTTGAACTTGAGGTTAAGCCTCTCAAAAAGATTGGTGCAGCACAGTGGAAAAAAGGCAGGTTGGTGTAAAGCCCCCATCGCCCACATCCTGGGATCCGCTTCTCAAGGGATGGAATAACAATAGTTTGTTTTAACTCATTCTGGACCGCAAGCAAGTTTTAAGGCCAGCTGCTGCTGTGGCCTCAGGTTTGCAAGTGATGGCGCTTGGCTGCTCCTGTTACAGAACCTGTCCCTACCGGGAAAGCCACACAGTTTGTTGCAGTGGTTTTTTTTTCACTTTGTTTCTAGGAAATGTCAGAAGAGAAGCAACGATTGCTACAGAAGAGGAAAATGCTCGCAGAAAAGCTAAAAGAAGAAGTTATTAATAAGCGGTAATTTTAAGAAGCTCATTGCAGAATCCAAGAGCAGAAATAGATTTTTTTTTTTAGAATAAATTATATAATAATTGATTTGTTTTCCAATTACACTTAGTTTTATAAAACCTTCAGACAAGCAACTCAGTACTTTATATGTAAATACTTCAAGTTACATTAACATACACTAAAGCACACTTATTTTCCAGAATGCTGGAAACTCACTTTCCTTGGAACGTGTTCGCGGTGAGGCCACGTAACATCACAGCAGCACGCAGGTGTTTTGAACCACTGGCCTCAGCCACTTGCTGTCACACAGAACAAAAGCAGATACTGAGATCTGTTAAAATATTTCATACGTGAACGGTTCTGAATTAGAAATTTTGACTTTTTAATTTAAAAAAATTATAGAACTTCATTCCTTTTACTAGATTATAAACAAGTTACTCTTTTTCAGCTGTGCAATGTAATAGAGTCTAGTTTCACAAGGAAGTGCAACTATGACCATCTTATCTTTGATAATGCAGCTTGGAGTCGACACACACACACATACTAACTCTGGCTTACACTACTTTACAAACTTGTGGGGCAGTTTACCAGTCCCTAGGTCTAACTTTGCTATAAATGCAACAGTAAGTAAAAATAATTGCTTTCGTTGCCAAGTAAAGGCTAGGGATGTCACAAGCAATCCTGTTTCAAAGCAGAAATTTTAAAATCTTGTTTACTGGTTTGGCTTTGACAGAATTAAACTGAAGGAGGGCAGAGGGGCTACAGTTTGCAGGATGTCATTATGTAGCTGACTGCAACAGTAACTCACTTTAAAAGAAGTCACCCAACCAATTCAAGTTTCATGTAATTTTTATTAAAATAGCATTTATAACTGATACATGTTGGCAGATGTTCTGTTCTTTTCCACAAAGAGCGGTAGTGGAAGGACCCCAGGCACAGAAACACGGTTGCCTGCAGGCAGAACCTTGGCAGCACCAACCAGGTCAGGCTGGAAAACAGCATCTCTGGGGGTGATGGCCCCAGACAGAAGCCAGTTAAAAAATGGGTGCTGCATGTCACCAGCAGCAGGGATTTTCTTTTTTTTTTTTTTTTTTTTTTCCAAATGGGACATCTAATGCCGCATTACAGAGTCTTTTTCTAATAACTCTAAAAATTCCTGATGTTCTTGTTTTGCTGTAAAAAAACAAACCCTCATGTATTTTTAAAGCTCCTGACAGCACTTGAGGGAAGAGTTGGGTTGGTGGGGAACAGAGCAAGGACTAATGCTTCAGCCAGAAACCCTCACAGAACTTGTTTGGGGCAGCTGCTAAAGAGAATCGGGACAACTGGGGTCCACAGACACAATCTTTCAGCCTCAGGTTACTAAAGGCACATACCATGTAACTCTGCTGCTCGAGTTGCATGTATAGTGCTGGAGGAAGTTAATCCTTGTTACCGATGGAGAGAAAAAGGACCCTTCAGGAAGAAAACCAGATGGGCAGTGGGTGGTGAGACTGCAGCTATGCTTTACCAGCAAACGCTTCCTCGGATCCTCTGCGCAGGGAGCTGACGGGGCCTTTCGTCGCACAGGTGAAAAATGCAGTCCCATGCGTGGAGCCTGCAAAGAGCAACACCGCTGTCCCCAGGTCCACGCACATGAACTGTCCTCCATCAGAACACTTGTGTCTAGCTTGGGTGTCGGTAAGAGCTCGCACGGTCCCCCCTGGGATTTCAGCTACTGCTACAGAGTTACTTTTACAACTGCATGGACAACTGATCTTAAAAAATAATCTGAAATGGCCACATTTAAAATTCTGAGTTAACTTACCATGTACAACAAACCAAACAAAAGCAATAATTATGGAATTACAGGGTCACATTTTAATTCCTGAATTTTACAGTTCAGCATTAATATCACCACGTGTATACAAATGGTGTAAAACAAGTACAGTGGTATTTTTAATACAAAATAAACTTCTGTTTTATGGAAAAAACTATACTTCATATCTACACAGACAGCCCATCTTTTTCCAAACAATAGCTAAAATTAAAATTAACTACAAAAATCTCCAAAACAGAGAAACTGCTTCAGTTAAACTATTCCAGGAGAAATGGACCCATAACACATATTACAAGAGTGATCTATGTGGTGGATTGCAGCTGGTTTCGTATTTTAACATTTCTGACACATTAATTGGCCTTGGGAAATTTCCTCTCACTTCATCATGATCTCAGATCACATACGGGCAAACTAACATTAAAATATTTACAGTTCACTCGCTGCTCTTGAAAATAAAGCCTGGACTGTTTGCCTCGATCGACTTGCCATCAACTCGCCTATTTTTCTCATGGTTTGCTTACCTACTCTGTGGAATGTGCTTTTACTTCTTTAAAGCAGCAGCTTTTGTATTACACCCAGATTCAGGTGCTCTTTGTTGATTCTGCCTCAAAGCCTGGTGGTGTTAGTAGTAATTCCGTCTTGGTCCAAAGTGAGTTTGGTGTTAAAGCGCCACTAAAAGTCATGGCTATGAAAAACCTGTTAGTGTTTCTCGTTATCACCTCAACTCAACTCGCAAACAGGAAAATGGCTCGCTGCTCCGAGGAGAGGCAGCGCATTTAACAACACAGAATGCGATTCCAATTTGGGATCTTCCACCACGTGAAGCTGACAGCTACTGGGGTGGGCTGGGTACGGCACCACCGTGACACGAGCAGCTCCTGGAGATATTTTGGAAGCAATTGTTCCTTGGCATAGACATTACTGGATGTGTCATCGAAAAAACAAGCAAAACCATCCATTTTGAATCCAGCTTCCATTTTCTCCTCTTGAAAAATACAAATTAAACCTTATTTTTTAACTGTTTTAAACAACTCAACATGCACTATAACTGCAGCGTCCCTACCTCCAACCATGAGAAATACGATTTAATTGGTAATAAATGGTCCCAAAATCTGGATTCTTCTTATGCAAACAGAGTTAGTTTTCCCTTAATTTTTTTTTAAAAAGAGGCATTGCTAAAAGAACACAACTGACAGCACCATTACAAAATGAAGATTACTGGGTTCAAAATTTAAGCTTGACTTCTGTTCTTCTTTCCTAGTTCTGTTAAACACTGGGGAAACCCTGCAATATTTTTAAAAAAGTGTTTACCATACCTTTCCCTCCCCCTGCCCTCCCGACACCTGAGACTTTCCTTGCTGAGAAGCCATCATCCAGGTTCTGTGAATACTAACCCTCTTTTTTTTAATTTTTTTTTGACAGCCTGAATGGCAGACTCCTTATTTACTAGAAAGACATTAAGTTCCTTGGAAGCTTTGTGTTTACAGAACTAACCCTTTCTAGCTGATACACTGAGTTTCTTTTGCTACTCCTTGTATTATCTTATATACTCATGGGAGAAAGCTTTCTGAATCAGATTCTTTTTAGCTCTTAAAACAGTTGCAGCATTTGAAACCCCGTAATAAAAGTTTTTATTCCAAAGTTTTGGTTTCATTTATGAACCCAGACGAGGTCTTTTCCTTGGAGATGTCTCCTCCTCCTCCTCCTCATCTTCATCGTCAGGATAATCCACGAGGCCAACTAGACTTCCCTGCCAATTAGAAAAAAAAATAGTAAAAATCTCTCATTAAACAGAATACCCAGGCAAGTGCAATTTTAGTACATACCCCCAGCCAGCCCACTCAGGACACACAAGCCTGCAGAAGGTTCCTTGGTGATGCATTTTTCCTTCAAAGACTCATTTGTCTTGTGAATGTTTTTGAATCCCAAGGTTAAGAAAGTACTGGAACTTCCTTGCCCCTCTGGATCTGGCCTCAAATTATTGCTGACTGTATTTTCATTTGCTTAAAACCACTTCTTGATCCCCTGACGGGGGGCACTAGCATAATTCAGAAAAAGACAAGCAGACACACAGCAGCAGCTGGACAGTTAAAGCTGAGGAGTGGGAGCAGTTCAATTAGAGGGCACAAGATTAAAAAGTGTGCCACCAGTTTACCAAGAGACTCCACTCCTTAGACCTTCCCCGAAACCAGTGAGGGTATAACTAGACAGGGCTTTGGATGAATTTATACATAAATAAGATGCCCTGCCTAGAAACTAAAGCTAAACTTGCCACTTTACACCTGGCAAAGCCTCACAAAACCGCCCCACTGCCCTAAGCAAGGGCAGCAGCTTTTGTACAAGTTCTCCCACCTTGGTGGCTGTCACTGCCGTGGTCAGGGTTGCGTTCTTTGAGGAGGAGCCATTGGAGCTTGCTGGTGACGTCTGAGCTGCCACAGATTTACTGTTTGCACCATTTGCACCATTGGCTGTGCTGGCTGAGTGGGAAAATGTGAACTTGAATCCCCCAGCTGAAGTCCTTTTTGGAAGATTCTCTTTGTCTTCACTCTCCTTAGCTGAGGGACAAACATGTTCATACTTAAGTATCAGCTCTACACCATGGAGTACAATCCACATCACAGCATAAGCACAGGGCAAAAGCTGCCTTTTTTTTTGTTTTAACATTCAGTTTACATCAGCAGCTCACCTGACCTCATCCAAAGCACGCCAGCGTTCACACAGAGAATGGCACGGGCACTGTGGACATGGGGTCACAACTCACTCGGCGCACACGTACATACAAAGCTTTGCTTTGAATGTCATTTAAACTAGATGCACTGTTGGTGAATTTTAACTTACTGTTTTTAATCTTAAACTAGCTTACAAAGACACAGTAGGAATTCATTAATTACACAGAATACCTTTACTCCTGTTTATGATACTGCACACAAGCGACTGGTTTCTTTATGTGACACTCCACCTATCTGCCACAGAGCACTCGCAGGCCGAAACTGAGTAAATACCTTTTTTAGTTTCCATAAATTTTTCATAGCTATCTGGAAAATCATCCTCCTGTTTTGACTTCTCAACTGGAGGTACAACAGCTTCACCTTCTTCCTCTTCGTCTTCATTGAACCACATTTCTTCATCCTCCTCTAAGGCTCTTGCATCTCTGCGAAATCTATTGCTACGCAATATAGACGGAACACTGTAAGAGACACACACAGGTGATTCAAGTTTTGCCTGCTGTTTCAGACTCAGCCAGGATCAGAATCACAGAATCATTAAGATTGGAAAAGACCTCTAAGATCATCAAGTCCATCAGTCAACCTGACACCACCCGCTAAACTGTGTCCTGAAGTGCCACATCTACGTGTTTTTTGAATGCCTCCAGGGATGGTGACTCCACCACTTCCCTGTGCAGCCTGTTCCACTGTTTGACCACTCTTTCAGTAAAGAAGTTTTTCCTAATATCTAATCTAATGTAACCCTCCCGGGGCACAACTTGAGGCCATTTCCTCTTGTCCTGTCACTGGTTACATGGAAGAAGAGACCAACACCCACCTCTCTACAACCTCCTTTCAGGTTGCTGTAGAGGGCAATAAGGTTTCCCCTCAGCCTCCTCTTCTCCAGACTAAATGACCCCAGTTCCCTCAGCTGCTCCTCATGAGGCTTATTCTCCAGAGCCTTCACCAGCTTCACTGCCCTTCTCTGGACATGCTCCAGTGCCTTTATGTCCTCAATGTCCTTCTTGTAGTGAAGGGTCCAAAACTGAACACAGTATTTGAGGTGCCACCTCACCAGTGTCGAGTACAGCGTCACAATCACTTCCCTGGTCCTGCTGGCCACACGACTCCTGATGCAGGCGAGGATGCCATTGGCCTCCTTGGCCACTTGGGCACACTGCTGGCTCATGTTCAGTCACTGTCAACCAGCACCCCCACGTCCTTTTCTGCCTGGCAGCTTTCCAGACACTCATCCCTAAGCCTATGGCACTGCATGGGGTTGATGTGACCCAAGTGCAGGACCCAGCACTTGGCCTTGTTGAAGCTCATACAGTTGGACTCAGCCCATTGATCCAGCCTATCCAGGTCTCTCTGCAGAGCCATCCTATCCTCGAGCAGATCAACACTCCCACCCAGTTTGGTGTCATCTGCAAACTTACTGAGGGAGCACTCAATCCCCTCATCCAGATCATTGATAAAGGATTCTGCTCTTCATAAGCTCAGTTTTCTGAATGCAATATTTAATGTACTGACTTAATTAATATATGAACTGTGCTACAGCAGGGCGTAAGGAAAGGCAAATGGGGGTTTACCCTAATTAAAGATGTTTTCATCAAGAATGAAAACCAACCCCAATCTCAGCCTTCTGCTTTTTCTACCCTCCAGGAAAGAAAAAAAAAAGCAACCTGCAGTAAGCAGAGACACAGCAGCATTCAAGAAGTCTCAGAATGCATAAACTGGGTAATACCTGTTCAGTTTCTGGTTTTGCCGATCTTTTTCTTGCTCATATTTTGTCTTCAATCCCTTGAATGTCTGAACATATTCGATAGATTCAAGTGCATTATAAAAGTTTTCAACTATATGTGCAATAAGGGATTTAATATCTTCCTGTGTAAGAACAAAACAGTATTTCAGTCTCAGATACGAACATGGAGAGATTCAGAAAGCTTTAGAGTTCAGTTGTAAAACTGAATCAGGCAAATCTTAACTTTAGTACCACGCTGATAAAAGTCACCTGGAGACACAACGCATTTTCTTCTTGCTGAAAGACAGCAGCTATGATATTCTATGACTGAGAACAGCCCTTCACTTTCAGAGACCACAAAAGATGACCCTCGCACATCAAGGTACTCGTGGTGAGTATCTCAGAAGCTGTTGAAAATCCTCGTTTTCCACCCCAGCAATGCAACAACCTGGGTGCTCTCACTTGTCCTGCCTCTGCTGTCCACATACACACTGTTCCCACAAACAGTGCTGGTGGAAAAGCGACTGATTCAAAGCTGAAACTGTCTAAGAAAGCACATATGCAGGATTTTAAAATACAATGATCATTCAAATTTATAGTCAAATTAGTCTCTTTTAGTTAGACCAAATAATACCCAGATTTACTCACATATATTTCACTTAATTCCTCACTCTAAGTTTGGTCCAGAAACAACGCATTCAACCACTAGGAAGCATTCAATCCACAGGACACTTTTACACAGACTCATCTGTAAATAGCACCTATGTACTCTGTGATGAGACGATCAAATAAAACAAGCATGAAGCAGCTTACTGGCTCCTTTCTATTTCGATATTTACCCATGGGATTTTTAATTTGGGATTTTTAAGCAGTAACACACTATTTAATATCAAAGGTTTGGTATTCCAACCTGAGATGCCACACAGGTATAAGAGCTGGAGAAGCTGCTTAACTTACCACTCGGATGAATTCAAACAGTTCAATCACAGCAGAGTTGAGTAGGTTGTACCTAGTTCCATTATCCAACAGCGCATTTATAACTGGTTCAAACAGGTTTCCCTTGATGATATAACGGTTATAAAACTCATCTTTTAGGCCAATTATCCTCCTCATAAAGCGAAGAGCACCTAAATGAAGAAAGAAATGCAAAAATTTAGTAACTACATGCCAGGGCTCCAATCTGCTTCTCTTGGAAAGAACTCAAAAAACTGATGTTACTGAGAGGAAGGTTCACTCCCAAACCAAAAGCAATAAAAAGCATTTTCTGAAAGTTCAGAAGAAACATTTGCTGACAGGTAACCTCTCTTTCATTCTTTGACTTTCCCGTGTATTTGAATGCGATGAGGGTCCATTAATTTCTTTTTCAAATACAGCAGCAATAAGCTTTAGCACATGTGAAGTTAAATAATTAGCTCATTCCTGTACTTTTCTGTGTGTACCTCCCAGAACCAGCCCCTATTTTTTAAATACCAAGGGTCACTAGATTTATTTTATTAAGAAATCTCAGTATTTCCATTCCAATGAGATAAGACAGCTGATCATGAATGATCCTCAGTGCTATAACAACGTGGAAGGATCACTGTGGACGTCAAAAGAACCAACAATTCTCCTCCCATTACATACTGCATTGGTCTACATTAAGAAACAACTGCTACCTTTTTGAAAAGATTACTTAACAGCTAGTCAGTAATAACTTTGAAATTAACATTAACTTTGAATTTAAGTATACTCTTGTCCACATTCCACACAGAGCAAATCACAACCAGTCCATACTCACACAAGGCCAGAAATGTGTGTTTTGAATTCATCAAGACCAGCACTCTTCTTAGCAAATCTTTGTTCATAATGTAATTCTTGATGTGATATGTGTGGTGTTCCACACAAAAAGTAAGCAGCTCCAAAATTAAGGCAAGTAGTTGTGCCGTTTGATAATTATCTACAAGAGAAATTAATGGCTTCAGTTAGAGGGCAGAGAAAAAAGCGCCTGTTAAGCACCAAATCATCACCAAGCTCAGTTGCTATTGTACAGATCTTACACATTTTAGTGGCACACTGGATTGCTTTAGGATGTGGGACACTGGTTTAGAGCAAAACAAGAAACACACATTTGGCTTTTTTTCCCCCCAGTCACAAAAATCACCCTGACTTGGCAGCGGGCCTTCCTCCAGGATCAGCGAGTTACTGGTTACAGCAACCCAGACTAACAGTATGGAGTTGCTGGAAGAGAGCCAGTCAGATCCGTATTCATGTGAACCTCATGAGAAACGTCTTTTCACAATGCTCAGAAAAGAAGACTGCACAGAGAACAATCTGAACGGCAAAAGCTCAGCTGTGTCTCTTCAGCACATATTCTGCAAACGATGATTTAAACTTTCAGTAGTGAGACTAAGAAAAAAGGGAAACCCGTTAACTCAAAAGCAGGTAGAAATGTTCCTTCGGCTTCCTGTTGCCTCAAGTGAAGCAAAGCACCTACATCTATTTCAATAAAAATTATTTTAAAAAATCAAGTATGGACACATATAACTTCAAAAACAAAATTAAAAAAACCCACTGTACACAGCTTACAAGGCAAGTTTCAAAACTCAAGGTCAAGTCAAACTTACCAGGACAAATTGTATTACTCTTAGTGGACTCAACTACTGCATCTGATAAATAGAAAAAGACAAAAATCAGAAAAAGGTTTTCAAAACACTAACTGTTCAGAAGATGTGGATAAACAATCAATTCTACCAGCTGTGCAAACTCTTCATCAAATCAAAAGCTCCTGTAAGCTACAGGGAAACAAAAATAGAGCAAGAATGCATGCCAGGTGAGATTTTTATATTCAATTTACATTACAAAGTTTCAAATTCAACTAGGTGAAAACATGCAATCTAATACTTAGGAATATTATTTTTACCTAGACTAAAAGAAAGTGCCTATTCTAAGTTTTTCAAATAATATTATAAAATGAGTACTACTGATATTCTACAAGATTTATTTTCCTATAAAACGCATAAAACATTGGTTTTTTGACTTAACACTTCACGAGACGAAGGGTAAGATGAAAGAAATGTTTTTACCAAATACATATTGGTCTGATTTAATCTCTTGAAAGACTACTCAGAAAAAACTCTGACTCAGGAGGCTATAGTGATGTTAAATATCTGTTTGTATAGCACAAGAGGCAAACTTGTGTTCTTTGCATGCACCAGAGATTTGCAATTCTTTTACTGTTATCAGGACAAAATAAAAAAGAAATAAGGTAAAGGAGTTCCAAGCTGTATTTCTTTCAGCATTTCTATACTACAGCCAAGTGAAAACTGGGCTTCAGAGTTCATCACTTGAACATACTCCATGCCTGGGATCATGTAACCCCTGATGAATGTTCACAGCATTTTTTTAAACTTTTAGAAAAAAGTAACTGTGAACTAAAGACACTCTCTGCTTTACAGCAAATATCCTTTAAAATTATACTAGTAAAACTAGCACAGAATTAACAATACACATTGAGGAGATACACACTTTACAAAGCACAGCATAAAGATGCGTTATCATTCAAAGCCACAAGAAAGGGCTACTGAAACTTCTGCCCGCAGAACCCATCACTGGGGGAACAACAGTTTTCAGCCAGCGGAATCCCAGCTGCATCACAGGCTCATCGCTGTTAGCAGGACTGTAACTCGACTGAAAACATTAGAAGGGGAAGGGAAAATAAATTAACATTACCTTTTTCACATTTATCTTCTGATGTATTAGCCAGAAGCGGTGCAGTAAGAACATGCATACAATGGTTGTAGAAGAAATTGAGAAATTCACTTTTCTCTGTTTTCTAAAACAAATATAACTTTATTAAATACTGGCATTTGTATACAACCTTTTAAATAAGAAAGAGTAGCAACATAAGAAACAGCCTACAACGAATTCTACTGACTCCCTCAGGTTTGCCTGGATCTTTTTGTTTAGGCCTGCAACACTGTCTTCACTCAAGGATCATATATTTAGTTTGGGAAAAGATCTGTGTGACATAAACCCAGTCTAGCTATCACCAAAAAAATCCACACTGTGGATGCAAATATATACTGAAAATACACCAGTGACTCAAAGTGCTTGACAAATACAATTATTTTATCCGCAACAACTTATAAACCATTTTACATTAAAGTATCACCTGGTCCATTTCATGACATTCTATATAATATACATGTATCAATATAGGAGTAAGATTACAATGTGTTTTCTTACACATAGTATGCATCAAATTACAAATACATTGTACTTTGGGTTGGATTCAGAACATCAGCAGCTAAAATAAAGGAATGATCCGTGTTTTAAAGAAAATTTCTACAAATGTCCTGTTCTTTCTTTGACATCTAAACACATATGTACAATTTGGAACTCAGTAATATAAAGAAATCCTTCAGCACAGCACTAGTTCAATGAAATTGCATCTTTATTGTGCCACTGGTATTAAAACACTGATTGGGTTTCACACAGACTCTGCTGGACTCTCTTCTCTCAGTATTCATTATCCAGCTAGCAGGAGTTATGACCGGACTTGTGCTATCTCGCTGCAGCATGGGACTGCTTGTTTTAATAAATATTTGCACAATGCCACATACACATACCTTTTATTATCAAAAGCTAATGGAAATTTTACCTTATTTTCAGCTTGTTTAAATTCAGTATCAGACCACACACAGAACTCAAAAAGAAAAAAAAATATTTTTTATCCTCTGACTACAATAACAGCAATAAAAAATACCAGGTTTTTAACTTTGCTGAGACAGTAAAGCATCTTTACCCCTTTGTATTTTCTTACATTAGCTGTGGCCAACATATTCTCCGGATCTATCAGAGTACGTAAAAGCCCCATTAACTGAACAGCTCCCCCAAGTTCAGGATCTGTATCACAGATCATCTGCTCAATGACCACATTGATGAGGAGGATATCCTGCAAAACAAACCCAAACAAACAAACCACACAATCATTAGACACAGTTTCAATAGTGGAATTACTTCCCTAGTTTCTATATTAGGTTTCCTCCTTTTTTTTTTTAATATAAGTGAAACAGAAAAACTGTGAGTTGCATTTAGACACGAGTTCTGTCAAGCACAACCCTCCTCACCTAAAATAACTGTTTAGCAGACTTACAATCTTATTACTGTAAACACACAGAACACCAACATGCTCAGAAATTCTTGTTTCTCAAATCTACTTTTTCCAGTGTTTCTAGTATCTACATTTTGGGGCTAACTGTATCCCAAATTCTAGAGAGGTTTGTTTTATTGGTTTTTCCCCTGTTTGCTCTAAAACTAATACATTCAACAAACTCCAAAACATTTTTACTTACATCGTCACTCTGCTGAGCCTCTTGCATAACAAATTCTCGGACCATGGATGGACTAAATTCTACTAGATAAGAAAATATATCTGTAGCAGCAGATCTAACTTGCAGATCATCCATTCCCTAGTAAAAAAAAAAAAGAGATCAATTTATTAAATAAAATTCAGTGTTTATTATCAAGTAAAGCTGCAAAGAACAGGGAATTAAAAGTTTTGAGAACATTCTATTACAAAATTTTCTATGAGAGATACAGTAATAGTTACAGAAAAAAAACGAACCAAACCGAAACAGCAAAATATTTTCCCCACTCTCTCCCTCCTCTAGAAAGAATACAAGGTTTTCTGTGAATCTGATAGTCCTAATTTAGGCAGAAAACATTTATATTGTGCTACTTGCTAGAATATCTAACACACTAACACTCTGCATGCGATTTTCTCTGATAACTGTACAACTTTCTAAGCCCAAAATATTAATGTAACAGGAAACATTTGGACTGGTCTATCCCTGGAAATGAATAATGAAATTTGGATAGTCCTGGAGAACAGGAGAGGTGCCTGAGAAGTGGAGGAGAGACAATGTGACTCCAGTCTTCAAAAAGGAGGACCAGAGTTACTACAGACCAGTCAGCCTCAGCTCCATCCCTGGAAAGGTGATGGAGCAGCTTGTTCTGGCACCATCTCGAAGCATGCCAAGGAAAAGAGGGTTATCAGGAGTAGTCAGCGTGGATTCACCCAGGGGAAATCAGGCTTGACCAATCTGATAGCCTTTTACGATGGCACTACTTGATGGATTGATGAGGGGATGGCAGTGGATGTGGACTACCTTGACTTCAGCAAGGCTTTCGACACCGTCTCTCATTGCATCACAACTAAACTTACGAAGTGTGGATTGGATGACTGGATAGTGAGGTGGATTGGGAATTGGCTGAAGGGCAGAACTCGGAGAGTTGTGGTCAGTGGGGCAGTCTAGTTGGAGGCCCGTGTGTAGTGGTGTTCCTCACGGGTCAGTGCTGGGTCCAGCCCTGTTCAGTATATTCATCAATGACCTGGACAATGGGACAGAGTGTACCCTCAGCAAATCTGCTGATGATACAAAGCTGGGAGGAGTGGCTGACACTCCAGAAGGCTGTGCTGCCATTCAGCGAGACCTGGACAGGATGGAGAATTGGGTGGGGAGAAACTTAATTAAATTCAACAAGGGCAAGTGTAGGGCACTGCATCTGGGGAAGAACCACCCCATGTATCAGTACAGGATGGGGGCTGACCTGCTGGAGAGCAGCTCAGGGGAAAAGGAGCTGGGAGTCCTGGTGGACAGCAAGATGACCATGAGTCAGCAATGTGCCCTTACGGCCAAGAGGCCCAATGGCATCCTGGGGTGCATCAAGAAGACTGTGGGCAGGAGGTCAAGGGAGGTTATCCTTCCCTCTCTGCTCTGGTCTGGTGAGGCCACATCTGGAATACTGCATCCAACTGTGAGCCCTCCAGTTCAAAAAGGACAAGGAACTACTGGAGACAGTCCAGTGTGGAGCCACTAAGATGATGAGGGGACTGGAGCATCTCCCCTACAAGGAAAGGCTGTGAGAGCTGGGTCTGTTTAGCTTGGAGGACACTGAGGGGGGATCTTATTAATGCTTATAAATATATCTAAAGGGTGGGTGTCAGGAGGATGGGACCAGATTCTTCTTGGTTGTGCCCAGCAACAGGACAAAGGGCAAGGGTCACGAACTGGAGCACAGGAGGTTCAACTTAAACACAAGGAAAAACTTTTTCACTGTGAGGATGACAGAGCACTGAAACAGGCTGCCCAGAGAGGTTGTGGAGTCTCCTCTGAAGACATTCAAAACCCGTCTGGAACTGTTCCTGTGTGACACAGTCTAGGTGATCCTGCTGTGGCAGTGGGGTTGCACTAGATGATCTTCAGAGGTCCCTTCCAATCCCTACCATTCTCTAATAGTAAGATTTGGGTTCATCTGATCACCAAACATCTATATGACTTTCATGTTTTCACAACAGTCAACGTCCTTCGGTAAGTTCACAGATTGTTACTCTTGAATATAAAAGCCCTTGAAATTTGTAGTTTCTGATTAACGACAACACTGACATATGAATTGCAATAGTCAGGCACCAGCAGCTGCTTCAATCAAAGGAGTGAAAAAAAATCACGTTTTCACATTGCTGATTAAGATAGATTAATCTGCTTTATACCTCTGAAAAGACAGGATTATACGATCTTTCAGATAGGAAGAAGCTAACAGTTCAAGATTATCTAAAAATACTTCTTCAGCACTGTTCCAACAACAACAACAAGCTGCCACATGAAAGAGTATCTTTTCACTTTTACACTATGTTGTCAAAAGGACTGCATTTACCACAGACTTCACCATGTGGAGTAAAAACAGTAACAGCAATAGTCAGGCTACTTCAGAAAACTGGACATCTTTCAGATTCTGAACTAACGTTCAAGAAACCTGAACTTTCAGCAGAGCAAAGTTGTCCAACCAAACTTCCACAAAGGTGCTTAGCAGATCTGAAAAGCTGGTTAAATGGCTGTGGGTTTTTAACAATTTTATTAAAATCAGCTTTACGTTTTCACTTACCATTACAATTTCAAGAGCTGGAAGAATTCCCAACTTTGCCAAAGTTTTGAAAAATGCATCTCTGTTCTGAGGTTGTAAGGTCTGAGAAAACGCGCAGAATTCCTTGAAAAAGTTAACCTATTGTATAATAAAAAATAATTTCAGGTGCATTTCATTCAGAAAACTTTGTGAAAGTAGGAAACTGTTACAATTTGTATCAGAGTTGGTGTACTGACTGTTACATGCCTTCCTAGAAAATGGTATTCTAGTACCTTCTCCTCTGGCCTTCAATAACACCAACAAAGGAAAGCAAAAGAAAGTAAAAACAAATAAAATTTAAGAGGTTGAAATTCACCTCAGAAAGAAATGTCACCACCTTGTAGCTATTTTATCACAAGGATTTATACTGCTGTCTACTGTGCCTTTTGTTTGAAAGGGCAAAGATGCTTTCCTTGCTGAATGCAAGATTTTAACAAGGCAATTCAAGCTGATAAACATACTCAAGAATAAATAATGTTTGTAACATATACATGTGTGTGTGTGTACACATATTAAGGGACTACTGACAATCCTCAGTCATAGGACTTAAGAGTTCTTTTTGAATGAGTAAATTACAGTGAAAAAAGCAGAGTTTATATGACAAATATAAGTGATATGGTATGTTGATGAGTACTTGGAAGAAAGTATACCCTTAAGTACAGAGTGTCAGCCCAGTGCTCGTACTTTCTCCACAATAAAATAATTATTTAGAACAAATAAATCAGTTTACCTTGCAAGAAATATTTTTCTCGTGAGTGCATAAGTGAAGACTGAGCTATACTGGAAATTATTCCAGGGTTACAGAAATACCTCAATGACTTCATGATTAGAAGAATAGTTTCAGTATTTCTACTTAATCTCTGTAGTTTAGAGCATTCAAAGAACGACCAAGACCCCCGACTCACCAATTCACATCTTTTGTCATCATCTGTAGCTTCATCTGTTAATTGTGCAAAAACTTCAGACAAAAATTTCTCATCTTCCTGTGTAACACATAAGAAGATGATTTACACAATGTGTCTTAACAGTTAAAAAATTGATCTTTACTGGATCCCACACTGTAGAAAGTCAAACTTAATTTAAGCTTAACTGCAATTCTTAACTAGAAACCAAGTAACATGCATTAGCAGATTTGGTAGAAACTGACAATCCAGATGCAATTTTTATCATACTGCATCTACACTGTTAACGTCACACATGTATCAGGTACCCTACTTTGGATCTGCAGCACTGCAAATGTCAGTCCACCTATGCAAGGGTGACTAGATGAGAACATGACGAGTTTGCCACAGCCATGTCCCCATTAACCTTGTTCCCAAAATAAGCTCCCCTGCTTGCAGGAAGTTCAGCTTTTCCAATCCAGGAAACTTTGAGTATTATTTGCTTTTCACATTCAGATTCTCTACTACCAAGAGATGTTTACTTTGAAGTAAATACAGGACAACATTTCACTTCTTGTTAAGCATTTCAGTTACATCATTGCTTAATACACAAGAGGTACAAGAAAACCAGCATGAACATCATCATCTCTCAACCACCTGGACACTTCCTGCCCTCTCCAATTTCTCTGCACGCCTTCACGTGGAAAACAGTGTTGGCATACTCTGAAATCAAACGTCTCTGTTACCTTTTAAATACAAGATAAAAGTTAAAGTAAGCATTACAGCATTACAAAATTATGCATGATTATATTCAACTCTAAAACTTTAGCTATGCATTGAACAAACATAAATGGAATAGCAGCATTCAAACAAATACATATAAACATCACATTGCATAATGTAGATGGGGTGCTTACTTCTCTATTTTTCTGTGTGCTGTGGCTAAAACCTATGTGCTGTATTAGGCTAACATAATACATAATTTTTACAGTTACAGGCTTGCCAGACAAAGGCTCACATAAATTTTTTCCTGAAAATTTTAAGAAGCGGGTAAAGAAGTGCTATACAAACAAACAATGCCTGGGATCAACATCAGAGAGAGCACGACATACACAGACTTAGTAGTTTAGACTAAGCTTTGCTGGCTTTAACAGTTTAATTAAGCCCACTAAAAAAAATATCGTACTGCAATCAACAACAGTCAGGCTGGAAAAGCCCTACTATAGAACTCCTGGCAACAGAGAAATCTCTTGCTTGCATAAGGCAGTGTAGTCCTGATGTCTGAAAGCACAGGATGGATCTAGGTTTGTTTTCCATGCTCAGTTTTCCACGTGGCTGCCCTTCACCTATAGCAGCACTGGGATCTACTACTTTGCAGCACGCAGAAAGGAGCTTTACTGCCGTAGCAAACACAATCTGCTACTCCTATAAACTGCATTCTCCTAGGGAGCTTTGCCAGTGTATTTAGGGTAACAAGACTTCTAATGTGTGCACCAAACCCAAAGGAGCTTTAGAGTTCTTGCGCCACAACAAAAAGCTGATTTACACCAGGGGACTGCGAAAACAGTCCTGAACCTGAGGTCCACGCTATCATGTAAGTGCGCTATCAATAACATCTCTTCCATGTGTGCTTTGTTCTTAGTGTGTAATTCTCAAGGCAGGTCAAATGATGTAGGCATTAACATTATTTGGAAATCATCATGCATGTCTCAATTACAGTCTTTACAACAGAGAGGCAAACCTATGTGCCGTGCACACACACACAAAGACAACAGTGACTGAGAGCAGCAAAGAACTGTCAGGATTACAGAACCTTCTCCAAAGAGTACCAGAGGTAACAGGAAATAATAGTTTTCTATTAATGCACAATTAAATACCCAGTACAGTAAAACTTAAATGAAAAATAACAAACTTTACAGAGTTAAAAATCTCAAAATGGAAACAGGACTGCGGTCTCAGGAGAATGATACTGAATTTATTTTTAGTTTTAGAAAAGATATGGAAACAAATAGAAAGGGAAAACTTCAGTTAACACAAAGGCATTAATTTTGCAAGTGGGATTTACTTTTTAGTTTCTTTCTGCTATTCACACAGAAAGAAGCTCAAAAGCTTATTCACACAATTCTCTGCAGTTCTTTAGTTTTGACATTTTTTCCAGTCCTCCACTGCATTCTTTAGAAATCCCCCTTATGGCAATGCAATTTCTCCAGTGCCCCTCTCTTTCCACAATTTTAACTACCCTCCTCTTCCCCTCGACACATCTTCCTATTTCACAGGGACTATCCACACTTAAAACCAACAGGTTTGTCATGTTCCATTCTACACAAATACACCATTTTTCTAAGGACATGGATCAGAAACAGAATCAAACCTTGGTGTTACCCATTAGTTCGCACAACAACATATGAACTGAAAACACCCAAAATGTTGTGAAGTTCACACACAGCTCTATATAAAGGCTCCTTCCGCAGTCCAGCTCGGCTTTCACACCCAACTACTTTTAAGCCTCCTTCTGACTACAAAGTATGCAGTAAGTTTTTTGATATAGTAACATTTTGGTTATTTATTATTACTTTTGCATATCAGTATGAAGAAAAAAACACAACATGAACATTTGAAATTAGTACCATAAAGTAATAGTAGTATAACATGAACAGTTCTGAACATGCTCTTTTGAATCACTGATTCAGAATTTGCTATCAAAACAACACGAATGTGCCTAATGTGTAATACCAAAAAATCACTTGTTCCCTAAATACCTATAGAAAACCAGCTCAAAAGATGTATGGTACTTGCGAATCACGTAAAACCTTTGACTGTATACAATCCATTACAAATATTAATATACTCACCTGAAATCTACAATTTTTAAAGTAAAAAAATAAAAGGTATCAGAAAAAAGGACGAGCACTCAAAACATTATGCAAATGAAAGCGTGTATGATTAACTTACACCGTGTTAAAGAGCTATAATCAATTTTCAAACTACAGCTAGAGGTATCTATCCATAATCCATCTATACTGTATTAAAAACCACTTACCTGCAACATACTGACAATCTCAACTTTGTTGAAGAAAATAAAGGAAGTGAGGGTAGAAAGAAAATTCTCTTCAAAAACAGATGGTGTTGGCAAGATGATGTCCTGAATATACTGTACCCTGTAAGTCTGGTGGATTTTTTGCCTGAGTTCAGAGTCTGTTATAGGAATAACCTCCTTAAATTTTGCTGTTTTGGTCAAGAACTCCCTGTGCCGTTTTGGCTGAGCCAAAGAAGGATCATACTCGAGGCATCCAACAACATCCATAATACACTCATCAGAAAACATCACCTCAAAGAGAGTTGCTTTGTTGAGGAACAAAATTCCTCTAATAATTTCATACAAATGATGTAAGCCTTCGGTGTTCTCTAAATTCTCGCAGACTTGGAAAAGCTGTAATAGTTTTTTAATATAGCCTTCATTCTCCAAGGCCAGCGCTAGCTTTTCTCTACGGATGGGTGAGGAGAGAACAGAGGTAACTAGGTCAGCAATCTCTTCAAGTTTGTTGAGTTCACAAGTAGGAAGGTCGATCAAAGGACTAGTTTCAGGCATTTCTTCTATGTGTTCCTCTTCTGACTCAATGAGGTCCTGGGTGACTTCCACTGAAGGATCCTTACCTTGCACCTAAGACAAGAGTGTGTACAAGTACTTCTCATCCCAAAGCATACATAAAAATAATCGAGTCAATAACCGAAATAACATGTGCATAAGCACTTACATACCTTCAGTTGACTGGAAAGTGTCTAACCATACAGAGGAGTATGTTTGTTGCCTCTAAATTCTACAAAGTCATAGAATCATAAAACGGTTTGGGTTTGAAGGGACCTTAGAGATCATCCAGTCCAAACCCCCTGCCATGGGCAGCGACACCTCCCACTAGACCAGGCTTCCCAAAGCCCTGTCCAACCTGGCCTTGAACACTTCCAAGGAAGGGGCATCCACAACTTCCCTGGGTAACCTGTTCCAGTGCCTCACTATCTAGTATCTAATCTGAATCTACCCTCTTTCAGTTTGAAACCATTAACCCTCATCCTGTCACCACATGCCCTTTTAAAAAGTCCCTCTTCGGCTTTCTGGTAGGCCCCCTACAGGCACTGAAAGGCTGCTGTAAGGTCCCCTCAGAGCCTTCTTTTCTCCAGGCTGAACAACCTCAATTCTCTCAGCCTGTCTTCATAGGAGAGGTGCTCCAGCCCTCTGACCATCTTCACGGTCCTCCTCTGGACCTCCTCCAACAGGCCCATGTCCTTCTTATGTTGGGGGTGCCAAAGTTGAGGATGGGGCCTCATGAGAGTGAAACAGAGACAGAGAATTCTCTCCCTCAACCAGCTGGCTATGCTTCTTTTGATGCAACCCAGGATACAGTTGGGTTTCTGGGCTGCAAGCGCACATTGTTGGCTTACATTGAGCTTTACATCAAGCAACATCCTCAAGCCCTTCTCCTCAGTGCTGCTCTCAATCCCTTCTCCATCCAACCTGTATCTGTGCTTGGGACTACTCTCACCCACGTGCAGGACCTCACACTTGGCCTTGTTGAAATTCACGCGGTTCACACAGGCCCACCTCTCAAGCTCACCCATCAAGGTCCCTCTGGACGGCATCCCTTCCCTCCAACGTGTCAGCTACACCACACACAGCCTCGTGTCACTATCACTATCCTCGATAGTACATTTTTCAAAAAATCAAATCAAACAAACCCAAACCCCAACAGCATCAGTGCAACCAAGAAGTCTGAAGCACCTTGGAGACAAGCATGAAATCTGAAATGACTGGCACAACAAAACCTTATTTCAGAGTCTCATACAGAAGGGTATGAAGCCTTAAACTCATGTAGTAAGAGCCCACAGCTATACCAGCATTAAGTGAAACACAACAAAGACCAAGAACAAAGGAAGGAAAATGTCACTAATGCTGAAACTACACAAGAGGGAAGCAACTGTGTCACACTTTGCGTTTTCCTTCTGCTTCATCTGCCCCTCTAACTCCTCTCCTCCTCTCCCAAATCTTCTCATACATCCTATACTTTTCACCGTCCCTAGCCATCCAGTTTTAAAACTCATAACCTCCTGTCGTTAAGTCCCTCGCAATGAATCACACCTTACGCAGGAGTCTCAAAGCACAATGCGGGAAGAGTTTTGGAGTCTGATGAAAGAGCCTAAGGCTAATGGTTTACACTGTCCGATCACATGAAGACCCACCTCCGAGACTGGTCAACAGCTCAGCTCCAACTTAAAACCTGGACTATTTAGTAGATGCACACACCTGCGGTTACTAAATCGGTTCCTTTCAACAACAGTACGTCAGAATTGGCTGAGAAGACATTACATGCCAAAACATGCGAAGATTAAGAATACACCTAAATTGCCTAGTTTGTTCAATGGAAACTGCTAGGAAATCTGAGTTCTCTGTTTCTTTACTTAACACTTTTACACTGCATTATTTAAAAATCTGATAAGGTTATAATAAATTTTAAATTGCAACTCCATTGACCTGTTACTGAAAGTATAAAATCCAAACTGTTTCACGATAAAACAGTGAAGACCAAAATATCTGTAAGACACAGATAGTCAGTAAGATTTAGGACTTGGAAAAAAATACCACTGAGAGTTCTGAGCTCATACAGCAGAGCCACCTCTTAGTTTCTCACAGTGAAATATCTAGCTCCTTATGCACTACAACACATTTTCAGTACCACTGCACTCCAACAAGCCAGCTTCCCATGGCTGCCTGGGAGAAGGACAATGAAAACGTGGTACCCTGGCATTCCCCTTTCTAATTAAAAAACCCAAAACAAACAAACAACCAACCCTAAAATGCCTAGCACCCGAGTTTCATCATTACATTGATTTTTCAAAAGCATGAAATTCAATTATGAAAGCAAGAAACAGTGTTCTAAATAGTAGTAACTTAAGATACCGTACAGAAAAGCCACCAAAAAGAATGATGAGTATGTGCTTGTTTTACAAGCAGGTTTAAAAACTACAGCACAAATATATGAAGTCACAGAAGACTAAAACATCCGGAAAAAACCGAATACTTAAGGTTAACTGTACCTGGCAGATTTTTTCCCAAATTTCATCACAGCCAGCTTTTTCTTGAAAACTCAGTGCTAAATCATAGTTTTCTGCTTCTGACCAAACAATCAGGGTGTCCTGTTAAAGACAAAACAAAAAAATTGTTTCTGAAACAGGTCTACACTGCAGATTAATCTGTATTCCAATAAGTCACAGGTCTAAAGAAGAAATAGTTTTAATTAAAGTTACACTTGTCAAAAAAGAACATGACACTAAAATATTAAATAATCTGTTCTGTCATAAGAGACATCACCTTCCTTTTTTTGCTATTTTGTGACTGCTACCTTACATATTATGTATTTAAATACACAAATGTACTTCTTTTTTCCATATCGAAAACACTTGAAATGGCATTTTTCTGCAACACACTTCTGAGCCAGCAGTCTTGAAAAGGCAATACAAACACTGTAAGAGATAAGTTGTTACATTGCAGGTTTTAAGTATTTTTATATTTATAAAGTACAAACAAAAAACCAAGATTACAGTGTTTCCTCCTCAGAAAGGGCTTAGTACAGCCTTAGCAATGTGAGAAATAGGCACTTACACTATATCTGGAAGACTCTCTGGAATTTCTGAACAGACTAAAAAGGGTTTTTTATGAGGTTTTATTAAGACATTGCTACTGTACTATAAGGAATGTAAGCTTGTGCTTTGACATTCAAATATATAGTTCAGCATCCTACAGAAAGCTCATCTTCATGTTAAACTGTTCAAACTGAGCTGCTCTCTGCTAATTTTTGCTACATTTGACAAGCTCCAGCAAGATAGTTCAACATTCTGCTAAGTTTGATGACCTCCTGAACTGTTACTGCAACTTTTTTGTTTTTTTTAAAACACCAGCAAGCCCTTGCTTAATGGTCAATAAGGTAATTTACTTCCCATGTTCCCAAAGGTCAATATTCACTGGACAACTTACCAAGACTTTTAAGTCTTTGTCTAATGCATCACTTTTATTGCAAACAAAATATTGGAAGTGATACCTTTACACTTAGCAACCAAACCCAAACAAGTATCTGACTGGCTTACAGATACCAAACATACTTGAGGAAACTCCAGGGGCACCAAGAAAGAGACGATGCCATTGCTCCTTCACATCTTCACCCTAAAAGTACTTTTGGGTTCCCTTTTTGTACCAAATGACATGGATCAATGAAGCTGATGGATTACTATCTGTAAGGTGTTCACTATGCTAAAAGGCCAATCCATGACATAGTATCACACAACAACATCCTTCATGTTTCCACCAAAGACAGGGGGATGAAAACATAATAAATACCAAGTGATCATTGCTAGCCTTAAACCTACTGCCTGAGTCACCATTCTTTAATAGTTTTTGATCAAAATAGTTAGTTTAGATGGTTTAAACAGACCTTTGTTAACACAGCTACCTGGGCTTAAAGAGGCCAGGGAGCACTCACAAGTATTTGCACTGGTAGATGTGAGGGGACTAACATCTGGGACAGGACTGCTGACCAGTAGCTGGCATGGGACAGTAGTAAACGCTTCCATCAGCATAGCTACCTGAAAAAGACACGGCTGTCTCAACAAACACAACTTACCAGCTGCTACAATTATCACTCTGGAACACGAATAAATATCAGCACCGCTGATATGGCATTAATTCTTCAGTTCATTCCTACAGTAATTTTAATCTCTCAACGTCCAGAGCTGTGTGGTTTGGGGGTTTTGTCTGCCTTTTTTTTTTCTTTTAAAAAAAAAGGTTTAGCATAACAACTTTTTTTTTTTACAGCAACATTGTTGAGAAACACCTATCAAAAGATCAGCTTCCTTCTCCCAAAATGCAATCACAGGCCACACTAGAAATAGCAACATTCACATGAGCTAAATGTTGTGGGGTTTGTTTTTTTTTTCCCCTCCTTTCTCATTTTTACATATTCCTTTAAAGAAACAGAGATTTCCTGTTCTGGAAAGAACTGAGCTCATTGCACAATGGTTTTAATGCTGTTCATGAGAGCTGTTTGCTTATACTACAGTGTCCTATGTTACACTTGCACTTTTGTCCTGCAGTCACAAATATTAATAGGTAGTGTCCCTGCTTTTGAACTCGGATTCACGTGTGCAAATGGTACAGCTTCTTACAGCTGACAAGGTTTTGCTTACAGCTGTCCCCCCTCATCTCCGGCTCATGGACAGATGAATCCTCTATGTTTACAGTGTGCCATTTTAGAGTGAGCAGTTGAACAGGGCTTCAAGGAAGAAATAACAACTGTTAACTGTGAGAACTGAAATGACTGATCAGCTCCCTGATCTGGTTCTCTTTGAGAGATTAGTCAAAATATAAGAATTCTTAAGCACAATTTCATGCCTGTTACAGAACTCAAAATCTGAAATGTTTATCCTGAGGTGTTCTGTGAAATTACCGATGCCCTGACACTCAATATCAATACACTTCCAGGTGAGCTGAGACTCGGAGGTGCCTCACTGACACGCATACATGAAGAAGTCCTATTCATAGCCCAAAATGATTTAAGTAAGAAATACAGTGCAGTAATTTAAATGACTGCATGCATCCACAGAGACTGCACTCAAAAACTTTGTGAAAATTCTCAAGTTACTGACCGGTACTTGTTTCAATCTGTAATGCCCACACAAAGCAGAAGTTACATAAGCTTCTTCAAAAATATTTCTGAGACTGAAAGATACTTTCATCAGAAAATAATTCTCCAATACCAATATAAAACCTACTCATCTGGTGTGCACTTCCTGTGTGACCTAAGGCAACCCATAAAGACCACGGACAACTTCCAGGCTGAGCTGCTGTGACAGACCACCACTCCTACCCACTCAGGTCAGCAGCAGTGAAGCTCCTCAGGCAAAGAGCAAACACGTTCCCTAATTCACTCAAACACCACAGAAGACAAACCAAAAATGAGTTCAGAACAACAATTTAAACTACGAGAGTAATTCAGTGCTGCCACTGGTTTGCACAATGTCTCCTTGCTCCTGTGCCAGCCTCTCATCTCCCTCTTACACCAGCATGTGTGCTGTACAGTGAACCAGATAGGGCAACACATGCAGATAAAAACTAATCCAGCAAAAAGAGGTATTTCAACTGAACCAGTTGCTACATTTAACCTGTCACACAGTAACACGAATACCCATTCGGGCATGAAAGAGGAGTGATGAAGCCCCCTGGCAACTGCTTAGGCCAACTTTAACAGTACCCTTGGAAACGTGTTAAACCCCAGCCTCAGGTAACTCCGATTCAGTCTCAAGAAAACTGTCACGAGTGATGGCAACTCTGGACAAAAGACAGTATTTGCACACATTCTTCATCTCAGATATAAAAATGGACAGAGCGTACCTAAAGGAGAGTTAACATCAGAAGGCAGTGTTCACAGCAAGGATTTCTGTAGCAGTTTAAAGTCTTACAGCCATGCAACCGAAAATTACTGCCCTCGTAACTGAGCTGGAAGAACAAAGTGCAGGAAGGGATCCATCTGATTCTTGCTGGAGACACGCTCTTCTGCCATTTCTGACAGGGAACAGTAACCTCAAGCAGAGGGTGGAAAAACGGTGGGTGTGGTACAATGGGTGTGTTACAAATGCATGTGGTAACAACTTTTTAAGCTGCTCCTGCTAGAGCCTCCAGAAAAACATCTGACCCTGCCCTTTGGCCAACACAGGCTGTCCAGTAGAAGTATGTAACTCTCAACGCCTATGCTCCAAATTCAAGGGGATCTAAAGCTCTTCAGGTGCCTCATGTTCTTTGCATATATGGAAATGGATTAATTTATGTTGTATGCTGAGCAGCCTGGCACCCAATCCAAGTTCTGTTTCTCTTGAGAAAGAGGTCACAATTATATTATGGCTAACACCTCGACAGAATTAATTCTGCATGAAAGGCAGCGACCACAAACATGAAACGAGAAGGCAGATAACAGTCTGCCTGTTACAGTTAGTCAACAGTTGTAGCACTACTTAGCACAAAAAACGTAACACTGGGAATCATAGATTGATGCACAGCAACTACAAATCAGTTGGTTTTCTTTTCTCACAGGATGTTGTTATGCAAATCACAATTTAAGTGATAACTATCCTGCAAGTCCGTTCAAGTAATTTACAAGAAGACAGATGTGTAGTCATGATACACTTCCATTCCATCAAGATGCACCATCTTGCAGCTTTCCTCATCCCCAAGACATCAGCACCTCAATGAAAACCTGCACCTGGACTCTCTCAAGTGGAAGAGCACTGCCATTCACCTGGGCAGATCAGTACAGACTCCCAGTCTTCAGGCCACCTACATAACAGACTTCCACATTCAAGTAAGGATACTGAGGAAAGCACACCTCTCTTCATCTCTGGTTAACCAAAACATTTTGCCTACATCTTTCGACCGTTTTGAAAAAGGATCTGTTCCCAAGACACCTAGGTTTTAATATTACAGTCTTTTAGAGGTGAGACTGAAATCTCACAAACTGAGAAATTAAAATACATGGAAGTCTGCTTTTTGCTACTCTGCTCAGGAGGAAGCACATAAAACTTGAGGACAAGGCTCTGTCAACTAAACGCTGTGTGATTTCAGAGGTCAGACAAACCTAGAACCTGTCTCTGGAAATCATAATCATTATTCCTCCTAAAAAAACCCAAACCAAACCAAAACTGAACTTCTTCAAAAGAGTGAACAGTGAAGCAAACACTTTCAGTCACGACACAAAAGCATTAGAATCAGTAATAAAAGCCAACCAAAACAAACCTCAGCCTGATAATTTCAAAACTACAATGAAAAAAAGCCTTCCACAAGAAAAATTACAACAAAAGCTACTGAAGTCACTTGAAATTTTCCTACCAATTAAGTAAAGGTGGTTTTCAAATAATCAGTTGTATGACGTTTCATAAAACAGCCATTTAAAAATTTGCAGCAATATAATCTGCATTCATATGTCACTATGTATGACTTTCCTCTGCTAAACAGGAAGCAGTTCAAGGCTCCACTTTCATAACCTGGTACAGCTCTACAAAGACCGTCCTCCTTCCTCGGCGTGGCCCGCCCAAGGAAAGCTGACAACTGTCATCCACCTGACTAAAACCACCAATATCTGACGAATGAAAAGTGGAAACCACAGAAAACAGAGCCTTCTGAAAAGCTAGGCCCGAGACTCTGACTCACTCCTAAGCTAAAGTCAGCCAGTCTGTGCTCAAGAGCTAAATGAAAGTCTCTTTCCTCAAATTCTCCTAACAGAACTTGCCATCTTTCCACTGAAAAAAAAAAAAAATCAAAACAAACAAAATCCTTAAAGATTTGTCTCTTCATGGCTTAGGAAGCACAAAATTACTGTTTCCTGGTAATGAAACACTTCTGGATACCATAATGAGCAGTATAAAACACTGAACAAAAGGAACACAGAATCTACTGTCAAACAAAGAGACAGGGAAAAAACCAACAAGCCAAAACAGTAATAACCATGACAACAATGTAGACAGAGACACCAAAAATTAATGCAGAAAAAGGAAAAAGCAATAAAAGGAAAAAAAGATATTTAGTAAGCTAGTTTTCAGTGGATTAAACAAAAACAACCTATTAACACAGCTCCCAACTGTTTTACTTCTTTGTTTTGCAGAAGGCTTACCCTTCACAAAAGACAACTGTGCAAGTAAGTCACTTCACTTAGGACAGCAGTTTTCAAGGCTTAAAAAAACCCCAAACCTAAACAGCAACAATGAAAGAAGGGCCACAAAGACAAATTCCTTCCTGTTATTTCCAGAAAAAGAACTCAAGAAGTAAATACACTGTAACAGGGCTGGCCGTTTTCCTTTCCTAATTCAGCAATTACTTCTTATGGCCTAGAATAGAGGATATGTTTCTAACTATTTTTCCTATTTTTTTTTTTTTTTACACACGTTCTCTTTGAAGACGAAGTCCAAAAGGTTTTTTTTAGGAGACCAAGGTTTTAATTTCTAGAATGTGAAGTATTATAGCACCTACAGGCTTCTAAGGGAGTTTTTCACCTCTGTGAAAAACACCATCGACAAGTGTGCGCCATGCTGCTTAGCTTTCTTTCTGAAAAACATAATTAGTTTCAGCATGAAACAACTTCACAGCATCAGTAATCAGAAAGAAAAAAGCCTAACAGTAATACTTGCCTGCTGTTTTTGATATGCAGTATTTGGATTTATCTTCGATTCTAACAGTAGCGAACCTGAAAAAAGCATAAAGAGATATTTACTGAGTTTAACAAAATAAACACCTCCATGAATCTTACAATGAATGCCCATGTTCCAGCCAACATATGCTCAACTTAATCTGTATCTCACAAAAAGTCCAGGAGAAACATCTTAAAACTCTAAAATAAGCCAGGTAAGGCAAAATCCAATGGAAATATCCATATTAAAATGTATTTTCCTTTCTAATTTAGACCAAAATTCTCTGCAGTACTGTCTACAATCCCAAAATCTGGTGCAACAACTACCTTGTTTAAAAACCATTTAACAAATCTATACAAATTTGCACAAGCTAACTTGCTGCCCAGCATAAAAATGTTTTTGCCCACAGAAGCCACGTGGGCCATTTGCTTCTATTTCCTTCAACTGTCCTTCAGAAGTGAATCATCTAGATACTATAAACCCAGGGACTTTATCTTGTGTATGTAAGTAGTGTATGTATCCTGGCAACAGCTCCAGAGTAATGTACACCAGTCTTAGGTGGTTTATTTAGCACATTAGCACCTGTCAGCTGGCAAAGTGGCAAGCATGTACTCCTCCCCCCCTCCAAAAAAGACCCTTAGGGTGACTTTAAAGTGCAGTAAAACATAAGAAATGTCACACAACTCGAATACAATCAGGGAATTTCTGGAGCAGAGATGGAAAGAAAACAACTTTTTATAGCAGCAGCAAGGAGAGGGAAAAAGCACTTCAAAAGCGAGCAAAATCATTCTGAAAGTGAACAAGATGTCGTCACACCTAACAACTTCATCTCTATTCAGTCAAAAGAGATGCAGCTGGGTAGGGTAACAGGAAGGAGGAAAAGTCTAGGGCCACGGAGGTAAACACTGCTGAGGTTTATCAGGGGAAGGAAACTTTGACCCGTGCCACAAGCTAAACAAAACAAACAAAAAAACACAAACAAAAAAAAGGATAAATAATAATCCTCTGGGGTCTGCCCTGATAAACACGGAGGGGAAGCCACCAGCAGCCAAGCCCGGCCGTGACGGGTGTCAGCGCTGGGGAGCTGGGCGGCGGAGCCGGGCAGGCTGTGCGGTGAGGGCAGGTACCGCGGGGAGCGAGGGGAGGAGGCCTGGGCTCGGGCGGCGTAGGCCTCCACACAGCCCCGGCCACGCTCTCACCGTCCGACTCG